TAATAGATTGGCTAAAAAAAACCAGGCAATATACACTTTGCTTGTTTATTTAAGCAATGTCCTGCCTACCACCGTAACACATTGCCTAAAATAATCAGGCAATGTGTACATTGCCGAAAATAACACATTGACGCTAACATATATACTTTTATTTTAAACATTTAAATAAACCTTTATTTAAACTCGCAATTATCTTAAAAGGCTTAATTTATTTTATTTTTATTATTCAAATTAAGTTTATTATAAAAAGAATTAAATTATATAATTCATTTTATTATATAACTGTTAATATAAAAATTTTGAATAAACTTTATATTTTTTTTTCTTTTTAAATTAAATGACCTTTTCGTAAATTTTCTTTTACTTTTTATAAAATATAAGGACGAACTTGTCGAAATTCTTTTTTTATTTAACCTTTTAAAAAACTTATTATTTCAATATGTAAAAAATGTAAATTTAAAATGTAAATTTAAAATGTAAATTTAAAATGTAAATTTAAAATGTAAATTTAAAATGTAAATTTAAAATGTAAATTTAAAATGTATATATGTAGAGCACAAAATGTTAAATATTTAAGTGTTAATAAATTTTTATCGCCTTCCAATAAAATTATTATGGTGGCAGTATATTAATAATCATTAAGCTACCAATTAAAATAAATATTGGAACATGGTGAAGCTAGAAGAAAGAGAATTATGGAAAATGATGTTAATTTAATTCTAAAAACACGTAAGAGATGATTAAAATGTATTAAAAATAAATATAATAAAATATTTAAAATATGAATAAACCTATATGGGACAATAAGATTAAAACAAAATCCATAGATGAAATAGAAGATTATTTAACATACCATGAGAGTAAAGATGTTTTGAGTTTAACATTTAATTTACCAGATGACTTATATTGGACACAATGTTGCCGATATATGGAAGTTCAAGTTATGAAGAAGCAATATCTTTATGAAAATATTTTTGTAATTATAAAGAGGTAAAAGAGATAAATGAAAAATCTAGATCAAATAATATATCTTATCCTAATAAAAAATTTTAAGAGTCAAAATAATAAAAACTTGAATAAAATTGAAATTAATACCAAATTAAAAAAAAATAAATTCTTATAAATTAAAAGAAATAAATCATATGATAACAACTTAAGAAATAATAGTGATTAAAAACAATAATGAAATAAAAATTAGAGAAAATAATAAAATAAAAATTTTTATAATTAATAAAAAATTTAAAAAAACTTTGGAAATAAAGAAAATTAAAATAAATATTAAAAAGAGAGACAAGATGATTAAATATCTTGATGTTGAAAAAGTTTTTTAGAGTATGATGTGGAGATCGTATGTTGAAAATGAAAGGAGAAAGAGAAATTTTTTTATAAAGAACAAGTTGAAGATAAATTATGATATAAAAAAATTGTTTAAATTGAAAAATAAAGGAGTAAAATTAAAAAATAAAAATAATTAAATAATAAATAAAAAAATTATTATATAAAAAGAGACAATTCCAAATATTCTATTATTCTATATTCCAATTTTATTCTTATGAATGATTCTGATAAATTATTTATTCCATTATCATTTCAATTATTCCAAAATTATTTTATTTGAGATATATTGATAGTAATATATATTTACAAATAGTGATAAATAAAAATGATAATAAATAACGAGATGAACAAGCTAATGTGAGGATGATGTTCAAGCGAATGATTAGACGATAAGGATAACAAGCTACGAACAAACCAATGAAAAAGATATGACTCAGAACAACGAACAAAATATCAAATGAAAATTCTACTACAAAGGAGAAAAAATTCTTAGAGGGGAAAGAAGTGAACAAGTTCAAGTTCAAAATTCGAAAATTCAAGTCAAGTTCAAAATTCAAAAATTCAAAGTCAAGTTCAAAAGCGAGAATATGACTTACGACATAGAAAATGATTGTTATAAATAAATAAAAATTTTTGTAATATATATATAAAATTTTGAAAGAGAAATGGGATGATCAATACAAACAGCAAATCAACAAGCAATGTTCAACCAACGACGTTTCAACAATGATGTGCAACCAGCGATGTTTCAAAAAAGATGTTCAATAATTGATTCAACAAACGATAATCAGATGGTCAAACAAACAATCTCAAGATATACGAACAAATGACTAAGTGGAGATAAGAAACTGAGAAAAAAAAACATTTAAAAAAAGAGGGAAATGTTAATATAAAAATTTTGAATAAACTATATATTTTTTTTCTTTTTAAATTAAATGACCTTTTCGTAAATTTTCTTTTACTTTTTATAAAATATAAGGACGAACTTGTCGAAATTCTTTTTTTATATAACCTTTTAAAAAACTTATCATTTCAATATGTAAAAAAATGTAAATTTAAAATGTATATAAATAGAGCACAAAATGTTAAATATTTAAGTGTTACAAATGTTAATAAAGTATTAATAAAATATAATTTTTTAATTTTTATCGTCTTCCATAAAATTATTAATAACAATTGAAGATTTAAAGAAAATTATTTTTTTATTATTATCTTATATATGAAATTAAAGAATAAGTCTACAATCTTTTACATATAGAACAAATATTATATATCTTATATTAAAATTTTATTTTCAAATCAAACTTAAAAAGATTTTTATAATAATTATATCATCTCTATTTAATAAATCATTCATAAAAGTTTTATTAGCATCATTTAATTTTATAACCAATCATATAATGTAAATTTTTTAGATATTTATTTGATTATGATAACTTTATTGCAAGATGGCGCTAATAGCACTTATAGATAAAACAACATAATAAATTAGGTTCTAGACCGGATAAAAAGTGTTCAATAGTAGAGTATCATAATTATTTTAATATTAGTTTCAAGGCTAATTTTGTTTAATCCACGAGCGAAAGATAAGTAAAAAAGTTAAATATTTTATACATTGCTGAGTTGATCGAGTTTGGAGATCTATAAAATAGAGTTTTATCTTAGCTTAATTATTTTAAGCTGCCAGACCTGTAGTTAGAAGAGCCATGTTCTAAAAGTCAGTTTAAACTTGAAGAGTAAAATGGTTAAATATCACATTTTAATTTTATATATCCAATTTGCGTGAATTTGTCAAATTACAAATTTATAATCATTTTTTTTTAAAAAAAAATTATAATTCTTTATATTAATAAATCACAAGCTTACAAGTCAAGATTTTAAAAGAAGCAAATTTTAAGTAAAAATCAAATTTTTATAAATTTATCCGATGTTGTAATTTATTTAATAAATTAAAGCTAACCGAATTATCTTTTGCCCAAAATGATAATAGTTATTGATCGTCTTAGTTGGTATTTAGTCTTGTGGGAGGTGAGGGGGGAGGGAGTGTTATAACAGAAAAATTATATAAGCATATCAAATAAAAGGTATAATCGATATATCTTTTGACTGAAATATTAGTAATTAATCTAACTACTATGTCCAGGTTTTTTTGGGGAGGAGGGGGGGGGGGGTATTATTATTTATCTTTTTAAAGATCATAAATCCTCTTAAGTTGTGGATCATTGACGGATCAAGATTTTTTTATTAATATTTTTTTAAAATATATTGGCTCTAATCAAAGCCTAATTAAAAAATATCTTGAAACTAATGTTAATCATTACTACTATTCTATGTGAACTAATCTAAGTCATTGGGGGGCTATTATTGTTTATTTTATAAACTATTTGTAATATAAATACTAGATTGGCATCAAAAAAGAATATCCAATTTTTTTTGACTGCAATAGTAATCAATCATTTCTCTGATTAAATGGGTCTAGGTCATAGGGGATCAGGAATTTGTTTTAAAAAAATCTGGACTAATTTTAATAATTACATGTTTGGACAGTCATCAAAAATTTACATAGTTAAAATAAAATTACCCTTTTAAAATACTATTATGCTTGATTAAACCATTCAATTATTGATAGCATAATAACGGGGGATTTTATTAACCCAATTTTTTTGTTGGATTCCGATTCACCACTTTATGATTCACCGTCATTTGTAACGGGCTAGCTACTAACCTTTCTTCCTATTCACAAATAGGATACTTCTTAGTATCATAGATTTAAAAAAAATATGCCACTAACATAAAGAAAATTAAAATTGTTCTTAAAGTTATTATAACACGAAATGGTACCAGAAGAGAATATACTAGTGATCTGCATCGGGCCGAATTTTTCAGCCCGGCCCGAATTTATTTTATAAAGTTTTGCCCGGCTCAGCCTGGCCCGAATTTATTTAAATATAGAAATTAATTTTTATAATTAATCAAAATAAACGATATATGTTATTTGGCGTCTACTTTCTATAAATAAAATCACATATTTTTATTTTACATAAAATATTCAACATAAAATTGATAAATTTAGATATATTTTAAAAAAAAATTTAAGGCCCGACCCGGCGCGAATCTTCTTAAAAAAAATTAGGCCTGCTCGACTTTTGCAGATCTCTAGAATATACTAAGTTTATTATTTAATTAACTTTAATTGAACAGACAATTAAATTTTAAGAACTTTTATTACTAAACCAAAGAATTAAATTTAATCTGTTATAAAACGACAAAATATATTAATGTGTAAAATTTAATTACTGATACAATTGATCGCTATTAAAATTCATTCAATTTACATATTGATATAAAAAACTTTCTTTTACATTCCATTTCTATTTAATTTTGTATAATATAAATATATTTTAACAATTTGAAAAAACCTTTCCTTTTCCTTTTCTCTTTATTTTAATACATTTTAGATTAACTTTAACAATTAAAATTTGAATATTAAAAAACATTTTGTCGATTATCACGTTTATCACGACATAATTAATAAAAAAAGTAATTTTGATGATTTTATTATATAACACTTTATTTATTTTTCCCTTGTTAAAAGCTAAATTAAACTCTTACAATATTTTTTCCCCGGAAAATGAGTTCAAACTTCATTTTTTTCCTTTAATATGGAAATTGCCTCTACATCTAAATACTTCTCAGATTCAAACACGGAAGAGCAAAGTGGGAACGATTTGCAAAGTGACAAGCAATTATATAACAGGCGTACTAAAATGACAAGTAATGACATTAACAAACATAAAAAATTTAAATTTCATAATACGAGGATGCTTCAGGAACTCAGAGATATGTGGATAAATAAACAATTCTGTGATACCACCATAAAAGTAAATATTTTTTAAATTGTATATTTTTTCTACAATAATAACAAAAACTAGCCTCTTTACCAGCCTCAAAACAGAGTGGGCCCCCCTCATCGCAAATCCTCCCAATGTCTACACCATTTCATTATAAAGAAGAATTTGAAAGAAAATTTAATAAAAATAAATAACCTTTTAAAATTACGACTATAATTCAAAATTTTCAGAAAAAAGCATTTTTATAATAAAAAAAAGTGAAAACCCAAAATTTAGCTCAATGTCTACAAAAGATGGGCTAAAGACCTATAAAATTTATGGAGAAAACCCACATATAGTGCTTTCACTTTTACTAAATTCCTGGATATGTTATGATTTTTACCGTGATGATGATTAAGTAATGAGATATTCAGTCTTAAACAATAGAGTAGCCCTATTCTTTAAGATTAAATATTTTGTAATTTATGCAGCGCGATATGTCACGCTAGGCTTCCGTTATACTAAGCCTAAAAATAGCCGGACAATGCAAAATCAGATATGATAGAAAGCAGCATTTATAGTGGAGCGATGCGAGAAGATAAATTGTTATGATGAATTCACTTTGGATAAAATCGCATATCGCGTTGACTATAAATGAAGCCTCAAAATATAAATAAAATAAAATTTTAATAACTAAAATTTTTCTAAAATTGTTTTTTTATTTTACAAGCTTCCTTTTTTTTTATCCCCCATCCTTTCCCGTAAATTCTATTTCTACATTTTTCACCTTTATTTATTTTACCTTTTTAAAAAATATTTACTACTACATTTGACAACATATCATTCAGTAAATATTCAAATAAAGTAACCCATGACCGGAAAAATAAAAATTAATATTTTTTTTAAATTTTAAAGCCGAAAAAATTTTGGAAGGCTATTTTTTTTGGGGGGGGGGAGAAGGGGTGGTTGGGTGGGTGGGTCCAAAATTATTATTAAGAGATAAGTGTTTGGGGGGGGGGGCGATTTTTTTTGGATGCCCCCACCCGTAGCTTCGGGCCTATTTCTATAAAAACATAATCGAGTTTGATCATATTTTGATTGATCAAATATCGGTTACCTTGTTATATATATAATATATAGTAAAAGAGGAGATTGGGCGATACATCAATAAAATATTTCTTAATGCGTAAATATATTTTTTAAAATTAATTTATATTAAAATTTACTAAATTTAAAAAAATAATAATTACATTTACATAATTTATTATATAAAATCTTTACAATGAAATCATGGACCTGTAGGTCCGGATACACGAGTCGGATCTATAAATATTTATAAATTGTGTATCAAAAAATATCAACTTCATTCATTTATCATTTTCTATATTTTTTTGATTCTTATAAAATATAATTAATCAACTAATCAATATTTTAGGTGATATTCAATCAAATTAAAAGCAACAAAGATACTTAATATTCAAAATATAATACATTTTTTAAGGGAAATATTTATTTTAGTTAGGTATTATTTTATCTGACTTTTTCTCTGTTCAATTAAGGCAATTATGTATGTTGCCTGGAAGAGTTCCTTAAATAACTGGTACTTATATCAATGACTTTATAAAATTACAAGAAGAACAGGAAATAATGGAATTACCATGAATCAGTTAAATTTAAACTCATATCTTTTACTTCAGAATTTGAAAAGTGTTTATCTTTCACATTTTGACAAATATGTATAATTTTTTAAGAAAACCCAGGCCGTAATATAATCCGGTCAGGGCCAAAAAATTAAAATCCGGGCCGGGCTTTGAAAGGTACCTACAGGTATCTGATTAAATTGCCTATGGCATCATCTAATACTAAATATTAGAAAATCCAAACTTTTCAAATAAAATCATAACATTTGTAATTTATCTTATTTATTTTAAAATATTTTTCTATGCAGGTTGATAAGAAAACATATTTGGCACATAGAATAGTATTAGCTAGTAAAAGTGAATATTTTCGAGGACTTTTTAATACGACATACAATCAGAATCAAGATAAAGCAAATAGCATTTACGTAATTGACATATCTTCGAACAATCTAGAAAAATTATTGAACTTTTGTTACACGGGTAAATTTGACATAAACTCACAAAATGTTCAAGTAATTTTAATATTTTTTCTTAGATTTTACCACTGATATATTTTTTTAAACATAAATATATAGGAGACTTATGTATTGGCAGACAAATATGGGTTTTTAAGTTTGCTTAAATTTTGTATAAATTATCTAGTCAATCATTTGGATATAGAAAATTGCATCAGCGTTTTACATTTTGCCAAACAATACAATTGCAAAATTCTTGAAGATGCTGCTCAATCATTTATTTGGAAAAATTTTCAAAGTATCAGTGAAAAAAGTTCGGAGTTTTTAATTCTAAATCCCTCGAGTTTAACCAATCTGCTTAAATCCGAAGAATTAAATGTAAGGAGTGAAGAAAAAGCTTTTGAAGCAGTAGTGAAATGGGTTGACCATGATCCTCTAAAAAGAAAGAATTATATATTACCTTTAATTCAAAGCATTCGATTAGGATTGATAGATACAAATTATTTTGTTGAGAAAGTGAAATCCTGTAAATATATAAAAGATACGCCAGCATGTCGTCCCTTGGTAAGGGACACTATCAAATTTTTATACGATCTAAGGAGCATATCAGAAAACAGAGAGAGCCGAACTTCAACGACTGGCTCTAAGCTACAAAAATTAGGTAAATTCGGCAAAAATAGGACAAAATCATCCGAGGAAAAAAAATTGAGAACTATAAACATAACCGATTCCGAAGAGAATATCAACGAAAAAGATTACGATAGCCACAATTTAGGCTCAATCATCGGCTTTGCAAAGGATAAGGTTAATATCAAGTCAAATAGCGAAATTGATCTGGCTAATGCTCTAGCTAAACCCAGATTGCCTCACGAAATCATGTTTGTAATAGGTGGTTGGAGTGGGGGAAGCCCTACTAATATAGTGGAAACATATGATACAAGAGCTGATAGATGGGTAAAATGCACTCATTTAGAACCAAAAGAACCTAGAGCGTATCACGGTTTAATAACCCTGAACAATAAAATATATATGATAGGTGGTTTCAATGGAGATGAATATTTTAATACTTGTAAGGTATTAGACCCTTCTTTGTCAACAAGCATTATAACCGATGTGAACAAGGATAAATGGATAGAAATAGCACCCATGAACTCTCCACGGTGTTATGTGAGTGTAGCAGTTCTTAATGGTTTTATATATGCCATGGGTGGATTTGACGGTCACGCTAGACTCAATACAACTGAGCGGTACGATCCAAAATGCAATCAATGGTCTCCATTATTACCTATGAACCATCAAAGAAGCGATGCTAGCGCTACAACACTTGACAATAAGATTTACATAGCAGGGGGGTTTAATGGGCAAGAATGTATGTCGTCCGCCGAATATTATGATCCTACTTGTAATGTTTGGGTAATAATAGCTTATATGAAAGTTCGAAGAAGTGGAGTAGGAGTGTTATCCCTTAATAATAAGATATACGCCTTAGGAGGATTTAATGGTATTTCGCGTATGTCTTCAGTTGAAAGATATGACCCAAAAACTAGTCAATGGGAAATCGTTCCGGATATGAACCATCCAAGAAGCAATTTTGCTTGCGAAGTATGTATCAGTTAAGTAACATGGATATGACATAAGAGTCATATGAATCAAATGATTCCTTCCATTTGCACCCTTTAAAAAAAAGCTAAAAGTGGTGCTATATATTTTATAGAAAGTTACTATTTTTAAAATTATAAATATAAATTTTACACGGCTTATTAATTGATTTTTTTTAAAATCCATTTTTATTCATTATATCCAGAGTTTTTTATAAATTTCTGAGTAAATTTTTTTAAGAACAGATTTTTAATCAAATTTTACCTTTTAAATCTTTTATAAGTATATTTTTTTATAATTTTAATAAAAATCTTTCAAAATGAACCACAGTTTTTTAAAAAAAATAATCATTTTGTAGATTTTTTTCAAATTCTGAATACCTAATTAAAATTATTCAAAGGTAATCGACGATATGATTTTCGTGGTAGGAGGATTTAATGGAGTTTCAACCATTTTTCATGTTGAGTGTTATAACGATATTATGAATGAATGGTTTGAGGCCACCGACATGAATCTTTACAGAAGCGCCTTGAGTGCTTGCGTTGTGTCAGATTTACCCAACAGAAATGAATTTATTCACAAAAATAGGAGTAATCTTCTGGAAGAGAAACGTCAAAGAATGCAACAGATATCCGTTAGATTATAAAACTTAAACTTAATTGCCCACATCGCCATTTTAAATAAATATCTCTAATATGTAAATAACCCGTTAATGCTTTATTTTATTTATGATCAAGTTCAATATCATAAAATTTATAATAATTACACGCATATTTATTTAAAAAATAACAATGTGTTGAAGTATAATTTATTCATTAAATAAATCAATTCATTTCTATTAATTTTCATTTCTTGTAAATGAATAATTTTTTGTAAACCACAATAACATTAAGGATAGGAACTATAAATATGTAGAAAAAATTATTATGACTAAAATCAAATTTTCAATATTAATTTAAATATTATTAATAGATGATATAGCTATGAAACGCTATTAATTGTTGCGTATTCCATCTCCCCGGTCTTGTAAGCGCATATCGGGCTCTTTTTCTCTCATGTAACTTTGATCATAATCCATAATATTAGGCATTTGTTTTACTACATTTGCATTTGTCAGAGACTGTTTATTACTGTCGTTTATCTTCGTCTTATCTTCATATCTCTTATAATAAGGGGGCATAGTTATGGTCTCCCGTAAATCAGTTTCTGTTTTCGATCTTCTGACTTGGTATTTCTCCTGTATTCTCTGATAAGGTGCATTTTGAACTTTTAGATCAGTGGTGTTTTCCTTATAAAAACCGGGCCGATACCCAGTGGCATAGATAACCTTGTTTTTGTTCTTATCCATTATTTGATTGTTAGAGGACGATTTATCCTCTTTTTGTTGAATTTTTTGTTCCTCTATAATTTTGTTAAAAAATTCTTCGTTTTCGGAAGGTGATTGTATCAATGCATCCATATTTTTAGAATTAATTCCATGGTCAATCATCATCTTTTCAACTTTTACCTGAACTTGATGTGTATCTTTTTCCCCGGTACCTTCATTAGCACGATTAAAGTATTTCATTGTATTTGTATTCATTATCATTGAATGGGAAATAGGCATTTGTGGTGTGGAGGAATGAGACATTATAGAACGAAAATTTGGCATCATGGGTGTAAGAGATTGAGAGGAACTCGGGGTAGCTACTAAGTCAATAGGTGATTCAAGCATTATAATCACATCTAACTTGGAATCGACTGAAGCTCCTGTAGATAATTGGGTGGTTGGAGTTTGAGGCTTGAATGTACGAAAATAGCTTAAAGGATCGATTGATCCCACTGCAGGTAATTGTGTGTAGCTTAGATAATTTTTCCTTCTAGAATCCTCGACTATCTTCTTTATTAACTCTGACAGAATCTGAAAGACATTCTTCCCTAATATTTGTTTAACATAATCATATTTTAAATTCGGTCACATATATACATAATGATTTTATTTTTTTATATAAAACTTTTTTCTTCAGCATGTCTCTTTAAGATGCATTCTAGGATTTGATCGCAGGACTTTTTATTGGATCCCAATATGTTATCGATTAAAATATGTTTCACGTCTTGGTCATAATAGCCATTGTCTCGTTCTTTACATATCCCACCTTTGCATATTAAAATTGGGACATCTTTTTCGCCCCCACACCCAGCATTATTTACGTGGTTACTATTGCAATCATATCTTTTATCATTAAAAGCAATAAGAAAAGTTTTTATATACATGATTTTAACAATTTACCTTGTATATGGTCTTTCATTTTCTAACAACTGACTTTTTTTTAGCGATTTTGAAAAACGGTTGAAATATTATTAATTGTTTACAAGTGTCACATCAGTGATAATATAATATATTTTGTCTGCCAAAATAAATATAGATTTTTTTATATTACAACGCATATTTTGGCAGATAAAATAATTTATTACATAAAATAATAAGAGATAAAAATAATTTTAGACAATTCACATAGTGAAGCCACAAGTAAACCACAGAATTTTATAAATTATAGAATAATTAATATTTATATTGTGATAAACTTGAAATGTTGATTTCGACGAAGATCCTTGATACAATGTTTCGACGAAAAACATCTCGAATCCTTATATTTTTTTTAATAAAAAATAAAATCTCAATATTTAAGATGATAATAATTTTAACATAAAAAATCTTAATCAAAAATATATACTTATTATTCATTGATAAAATAAAATTTATCTGCATTACAATTGCATTGAACTTTATTACAAGAATTGACGTTAAATTAGGTTATAAATGTTAAAGTTCTATTTTAAAAAAAAGGTATTAACATACCTGATGATAAAAAAAATATTAAAATTCTAAATATTTTACCATTTTGGCTATAGAATTCAACAGAATCTAAAATTTGAATATAAAAAATATAATATATAATAAACTTTTATAGTAGCAAATACAGTTATGGCCCTCTAACTATTCCTTCTTAATCTTTCAATTTCCGGTCCTCAAAGTCGTATCGTTTACGAGCTGTATTGAACCTTGACTAAAAAAGTTCTGTTTACGGTTCCTAAGCATTTAAAAAAAGGTTCTGGTTCTTTATTTGATGCGGTTTCGAGAGTTTAGGTTTCTTGTTTTGAACCTTATAAATTATTTTAAATAAGGGTTCAGGATTCTATTCCAGAATCTGGATACAAATAAATAAAAAGAAACTTGATTTAATGTTTGGTTCATTTGAAAAACCTGTTTAGCGGGTAAAATCCGTAAAACCTGTCTAATTTGGGAATCGTGTGGACCAAGATTTTGCCCAACTTAGGCAATTGCCCACAAGGCATTTTCTAATAGATAATTGTTAATAGGGATATGATTGGAACTCAAATTTTTATCAAATTAGGATGTTGATCGAATTACCAAGAGCCCGAATTAGACAAGTAATACTTTATATTGTTTCTAAAAAGTAAAAAATTTTATATTACCCATATTGTTAAAATCTGAATTGGTATATGTAACAAGGCCATTATCCTCTTCTTAAAACAATTTTATATCTGCAAACGGAAATTAAGAAAGTGTATTATTGAAATATTAAAATATTAAATTGCATTATAAAATTTTTATAAATACTCATAAATTTATGTTTCCTTTATTATTACTAGACAAAATATTTCAAATATTATTACTTGCCCTTTTAAATAGGAGGGATGTTTATATTCACAATATATATCTTCAGGGATATTTATATTTTAAACATTTTATCTTTATATTTTATGATCCTTTAATAAATAAAATAATAAAAATATTTTGAGGGCATATTCATTATAATAAACGATATCTCTTGTTAAATTAATTTTTTTGAGAATATAAATTTGTATTAATATATTTATGTATGATATATAAATAGCTTAAACAATTTAATTTGTTGAAATTATGAATGTTGGGCAGTCGCTTTATACTAATTCATTTTTTTAAAATACTTTGTTTAGTTCAATTTTTATTGAGAAAATTAAATTTTATTGCTATTTTCGACCTGATTAGGTAATAACATGGCGTAGCGAATCCTCTAAAAACTTTTCTTAAATTTTTAAGTTTATAAAAATTGCCCCCTATAGACTCAACTCTGATATTATAAACAATATGGTTGGTAAACTCTAACAAATAGAATATTTTGTTGGCTGAATTATGATTGAAATTGAGTTCATTTAAACCTTATCATACCCATAACCAGCGTAGTGCATTTGACCGGTCAAATAGAATTCTGTGAATTGACCGATATTTGACCGCTCAATTCAAATTAATTTTTTAAACTTTAATAAAAAATAAATCTATGTAATATTAAATTAAATTTTTTAAATTCTGTAATTAATTATTTAATATTATCATTTTCTATATTTTTAACCAATCTTAAGTTATGATATACACTTGCCTTTCTGGTTGTCGAGATCTTCAATCGATTTCTTTTCTTTTTATGAATATTACCTCAAACAGACCAATTTATTTCTGAAAAAGAAGTATAAAGGATTTGTAAGTAAGATATTAGACACCTCTCTTAATGTTCAAGGTGGGCAAAGCTAACAAATTGAGGCCGAAATCATATTGTTTTTTATAAAAATTATTGCTTTCCACATATTTTGGCTATTAAATATACTGCCGCTTTTATTTCAACTAAAAATATTTTGATTATCATCACCTTGCAATTCCTAATTCTTAATTATATTACATGCTTCATCAAACACACTACTTGTAAAATGCTCCTCTTATATTGGGGATCCAATAAATAATAAAGAGTACATGTATTTAGATTGTTTTTTTTCCTTTTCAAACGTATCTTTAATTTTTCTTTTCTTTAGGTAGGGATATTATAAAATCATGGCATGATTGAATTATATGTTTTCCAAATAATGTTAAAGAATAATTTTAAAATTTTTCCAAAATATAATTGTACAAAATACAATATAAGGCAATTAGTAATTTACACAAACCATGCTTTAGCAAAATATTGATATTTATTTATATATTGCGATTAGATGTGGGCACGAGCCGTGAAATTACGCGCGACCCATCGTGTCACGGTTCACGGCGTGAGCGTGAATAAATTTTAAATTATTTTGCGTGACTGGGCATGACGGGCATTCTCAAAATTTTTCTCGGGCCTGATCGGGCGTGAACATAAATTTCCTGTGAATTACGGATTTTTAAAATGTTATTTTATAAATTTAAATTTGCAATTTTATAATTATAATATGTATTCTCTAATTTAATTTAATTCTTTTTTAAAAAAGAATTTTTGAAAACAAAAAATCTTCCGCATTTTATAAACAACATCCGTTATAATGCCGTTGGTTCTACTGGGCCATTCCATGTCAAATCGATCAAAATGGGCACATTCTCGGCCGACCTCTTTTAAAATTGTTAGAAATTTCAGGAATTATTTAGATAGGTAAAAATATGAGAAAGCTGTTTATTTTAGCTCGCTAGCACAACTGGTTCTCGAGATATCGGACTCATAGATACAAGAAAGAGCCACTTTAGAATCTGTAAAATTTTTTGAATGCTTATATCTCAAAATCTGTTTGTAGTAAAAATAATATAATTATTGTAGGTAAAAATAATCTCTAAAGGGCTATCAAAAAATAATAAAAATTGTCGCCAATTTGAGCCTTTAACTTCCGGTTTACCTATATTGATTTACCTGTATTTTTACGCAAAAAAGAGAGTTTGTTTTTTTTATAATTTTATTCTTAAGGAAAATGAAAATATTGATACGTTAAGAAATGTGATAAAATTTTCCTGTTCTGTCTCCCCTCCCCCCCCACCATCCTTACAAAGTTTTACATTTTTTAGATCTCTACATTGCTACTATGGCTAATGACTTATTAGCTCGATAATGTATAACTAGATGCCGCCACCGTTGCTATTCTCAAAACTTTTTATAAGTCCAAAAAAGATATATTTTAATTATTTTATGAGGGCTATATCATAAATTTAATATTCATTCAAATATTAAAATTGGATTCTCTAAATTTTGCGCTTCGTCCCGAGAATTGTGTATTTGTTGGCAGCAATGGTACCCATTCATTATGTGTTTACTCCATTTATCAAAACACAAAATTAATGCTGATGAGTTTTTCCAAAATTCTTTTTGTACCTATGAGCCTCTATATCTTGTTAACCAGGTGTGCTAGTGAGCTAAAATAAACGGCTTTCTCAATTTTTTACCTATCTAAATAATTTCAAAAATTTTTAACAATTTTAAAACACTTTGGTCGAATAGTGATTGATTTCACGTCTGTGTTTAGTTTGTCTCAAAGTTTTTGCTAAATTTTGCTTAAACTTTAAATTTATATGTTCAATAAATGTGCCTTAAGAAATACAAAAATCTTTCTAATCAGACAATATTTAATATGTTTAAAAGGCAAATGTCAGACAAAGAGTTTTACAGAAAAGTAAATTATATTTTATTTGTATCTTCGACCTTTAAATGCAACAGAAATGAAGGATTTTACATTACAAGCTAGGCCAAGAGTTAATGATAATACATATGGACACCAAAATATAAATGATATACTTGTGAACCGAAAAACTCTCATAAATACTATGGCTCCTAGAATATACGATGAAATTAAAATTAAGATTAAAACTCTCAAAAATAATATAGCTTCTAAAATATATGATGAAATTAAAATTAAGAATAAAGGCATGATCAATAATAATTACTTGTCCATACAATTTTTGGACCAATGACTATAGAAGTTCTTTAACCATTTCAGGACATATTATCAATAAGGATTTTGAATTAGAACATATGTTTTGGCTACAAGGGAAATGGATGAAAAAAACAGGCGCCAATATTAAAAGTGTAGTCAATTCAATTTTAAATGAATATACAGAAGTAGAAAATTATTTAAATAAATGTATATGACTGATAACGGAAAAAATCTTATAAGTACATTCAAAGATGACGAAAGGCTAGCAATATATTATAATAAATAATATTATGCATCTGACCTTAAAAAAATAAATGGTGTAAAAAAAATAATACAATATTTCAAACAATCTACAGCTAATAGCAAACTAAGCCACACCCTTAAACAAGATGTAATAACGAAATGGAACTCTGATATCATGATACAGAGTTTCTTAAAATCATATTCTGAGATACAGGTATACTTGCTTATCAAGTAAGAATTAAATAGATTAGTTGATATCAACATGATAAATTTTATTAAATATTTAAAGAATGCTCGGATAACATGAGCGCAAATTCTCGTCCTCAATAAATAAAATTTATCTATGGAAATAAATATTAGTAAAATTTTGTCAACCT